AGTAGTTAATAACAACTTTAATATATATATATATATATATACACATATATCACTAATAAAAAAGCTATATAAAAAGCCAGTAGATAAATTAAAATGGAATGATAAAACAAATTCAAAAAATCAAAGGGGAAAAAAGGAATACAGACAAACAAATACAGAAGAAACAAACATTTTTAAATGGCAGAAAAAAAAACCCAAGCCTATGAGTAATATATTAATTATAAATGGCCTAATTTCTTAATAAAAAAAAGAGACTATGAAAATGCATTAGGAAAACCAAACCATTCCTTTTCAGAAGAAACTCATAGTAAGTAAAAGCACAGATAGATTTTTAAAAGGGAGGTTGTAAAAAGACATGCTGTGTCCTAAACTGACAAAAGTAGTGTACCCTGGACAGAATAGGAGGCCTGTACTTAGGGGTCTCAAGACAATAACCACTGAAATCACTCGTATCTTAGAACCCCCTAGACCCTCAGAACATACTGCCTCTGTCTCACATCCATTTGCTAAACCTTTGAGGTAGTATAAAATCACTATGGTGTGGAAAGAGTCAGTTCCCCCATATCCACCAAAACCTTACTTAAAGAGCTTTTATTAAGGTAACCAGTGGCTTCCACAGTCAAGTCTAAAGGATATTTTCAACCTCTTTTCTACTGTACTTCCAAAGCACCTGACACTACTGACAACAGATTCTTCTTGAAATATTTTATCCCAATGGTATATTTTTGGTTTTTCTTTCATAGCCTCCTTTATAACCTTGCCTTATACTCAGAACTATAAATTGAATTTCATAGCTTTATCCTTAGACATTTTTAGACTGAACCTTAAGAATGTGTTAATGAAAAAGAGAGAGAAAGACCTTAGAAAGAGCAAAGATCTCAGTTTTTGGGATACACTGAGGTTGTCATAGATGGAGAAGTACACACTCAAGCTACAGTACAAAGCAGAGCAAAATGATGCCACTTAAGTATTAAGCTATCAAATAAGCTTCCTAAAGTGATGCAATCAAATTGCTTTCTATCTGAATAAAGATTATTAAACTAATAGTACACATACTTGAACATTTCTCAGTAGACTTTCCAATATCTCTGTTAGGGAGCAATATCATCATCCTCATTAACAGTTGAAAATTCTGAGATCCAAACCCCATTGTTAACAATAGACAGAACTAGAATCTATGTATCAAATGCTGCTGAAGCATCTTATCCTTCTAACTTCGATGTGAGTTTAAATCTTAGAGCTTTTTGCTACATCTGAGAACAACAAGGAAGTAGCTTAGAAATTACATTTATAAAATGAACCACTAAAGTAGCAAAAATAAGCTTCTACTTCTAGATTTCTTACTATAAAAATAAGTCCCTATGTAAAAAAAACTGCATTTTTAAAAGCAAGAAAAATGTACTTACTATGTGGGATATAATTTCTCTTATAATTATATTTATAATTTATAACTAAATTTCTGCCATAAAAATCATGTTATCTCCATGAATGGTCCTTGGTTGACATATCAGTCTGAGAAAAGACCCCTGTGCCCAGATTTTTTGGTTCTCTTGCTCTCCTTGTGGAGCTCCTGTCCCCTCAAGGTCTTTCTATCTCCCCTTTCTTTTGTAAGATTCCCTGCACTCTGCCCAAAGTTTGGCTATGAGTCTCAGCATCTGCTTTAATATGTAATAGCCAGAATCTGGAAACAACCCAGATGTCCCTCAACTGAGGAATGGATACAGAAATTGTGGTACATTTACACAATCGGATACTACACAGCAATTAAAAACAAGGAAATCATGAAATTTTCAGGCAAATGGTAGGAACTAGAAAAGATTATCCTCAGTGAGGTATTCCAGTAGCAGAAAGACACATATGGTATATACTCACTTATAAGTGGATATTAAACATATAATATAGGATAATCATGCTAAAATCTGTACACCTAAAGAAGCTAAGCAAGAAGGAGGACCCTGGGTAAGATGACCAATCCTCATTCAGAAAGGCAAACAGGATGGACATTGGAAAATGGAGAAAAAAAGGAACAAGACAGAAGCCTACCACAGAGGGCCTCTGAAAGGCTCTACCCAGCAGGGTTTTGAAGCAAATGCTGAGACTCATAGCCAAACTTTGGGCAGAATACAGGGAATCTTGAAAGAAGGGGGAGATAGAAAAACCTGAAGGGGACAGGAACTCCACAAGGAGAGCAACAGAACCAAAAAATCTGGGCACAGGGGTCTTTTCTGAGACTGATACTCAAACCAAGGACTATGCATGGAGATAACCTAGAACCCCTGCACAGACGTAGCCCGTGGCAGTTCAGTGTCCAAGTAGGTTCCCTAGTAAGGGGAACAGGGACTGTCTCTGACATGAATTGATTGACCTGCTCTTTGATCACTTCCCCCTGAGGGGGGATCAGTCTTACCAGGCTATAGAGGAGGACAATGTAGCCAGTCCTGATGAGACCTAATAGCTAGGGTCAGATGGAAGAGGAGAAGGACCTCCCCTATCAGTAGACTTGGGGAAGGGCATGGGAGAATAAGAGGGAGGGAGGGCAGGTTTGGTAGGGGACTAGAGAGGAGGCTATAGCTGGGATAAAAAGTAAATAAATAGTAATAAAAAAGACAAATAAAATATTTTGACACAAAAAAATCCAAAAACTGTAAGTGGTTAAAACAAATAACATTTTTTTTTTACACAGGAATTATTTATTTTACAGTCATTTGTAACATTAGCCTATAAAATTCAAATTGTTTCTTAATAACAAATCACAATTAAAGAAACAATTTCTGTTTACCAAGTTTTGCCTTTCTTAAAGGACAAGCAATTAGTTTTAAGCAATAAGGGCTGGTATAACCCAACTGAATTAACAGAAGCTAAACAGTATAATGCAATACTAACCAATGAGATCAGAGAATAAACATGAAGAAAGGTGAATATGTAAATTCAAGTGTTCAAATGCGCAATGTTCTCTATTTATCTTAATTTCTCTTAGCAGAAATCAAAGCATCATTAAGCTCTCATTTAAAAATCTAATAATGTCATATAAATTTGAACTAACACCCTGGGTCCCAAGTTACTGGCTTTTTAATGTTTATTAGAAAAATTCATAATATTTGTCTTCATAAATATTAGATATCAACTGTGGCCGAACTGCTCTTGGCCCAAGGTGTCTTTGTGGCAATGAAGAATACCTCAAAAGAGCTTGTATTTGTAGAGCTTATCTGAGGTTCAGGTGAGGGCAGGGGACAAACAGACCATAAACAACTACATGAAATACTTCATGGGTCAGTGGATGGCAGGAACTATGACAAAAAGAGTAAAGCAAGGAAAGTAAGAAAACTTCACAGGCACTTGTCAAAGATAACTATTTTCTATGAAGTTAGCAGTCCTGTAAGCCTGACTGACAAGAAAGGTGGACTTAAACTGGGCCTTGCCTTGCACTGTCCGGGATAACGTGATACAAAGAGAGTGAGACAAGTTCAACTGTGAGGGAGCGTGGTAAGGAAAGCCAGATGATACTGTCCCCAAGGAAAGCCAAAAGAAAAGCTCTCAGTTCCTCAATCTACCCTCTAAAGCTATGTTAAGATATGTTAAAAGTCTTTCGAAGGCACTCTGTGGTAGGCTCCTGTCCTGTTCTGTGTTCGCCCTCTTCCGATGTCCATCTCCTTTGCCTTTCTGAATGAGGATTGAGCATCTTACCCAGAGTTGTCCTACGTGATTAGCTTCTTTGGTATGTTTATCCTATATTATATATGTTTAGTATGTTTATCCTATATTATAGGTCTAATATCCACTTGTAAGTGAGTATACACCCTGTGTGTCTTTCTGCTTCTGGGATACCTCACTCAGGATGATCTTTTCTGGTTCCCATCATTTGCCTGCAAATTTCATGATTTATTGTTTTTGATTGCTGAGTATTATTCCATTGTGTAAATGTACCACAATTTCTGTATCCATTCCTAAACTGAGGGACATCTGGGTTGTTTCCTGATTCTGGCTATTACAAGTAAAACTGCTACAAACATAACAAAAAAGAAAGAAAAAGAAAAGAAAACTTCACAGGCAATATGGGGCAAAGAGAGGCAGAGAACAGTGGGACAAGGAGCCTGCCAGTTGGAAAGTGTTGGCTGGTGGCTTCAGTTCCAAACACCACAGTCCCAAAGATATCACTGGAACGCTGGCAGTGGAGCTCAAACTGAAAGGCAAAGAGCCAAACCCCAATTCTCACCCACCTGAGGTCAGCCAGGTTAACTCCTGTTCTACTAAACAGTATCATCATTTGAAACTGGTCCACAGCTTAACGTCAAAATGGTAGTTTTTACTTAGAAGTCATCCGATGCATCATAAGCACATCAAAAAAGGAAGACACATACTCCAATCACTAACAGCCCTCTGAATGTTTGTTACATTCCACTACATCATGAGCACATTCATCTTATAAAACTCCCCAAATGCATATCCCAAATGCAGATTTTTTTTTAAATTTTAAATTAGCCCAAATTTCATCATGGCTAAAATTTTAAGACATAAAATGAGTGCTGAAACAGAATTTTAATCATATAGATGAATCACAACATGCATTTTAGCTAGGCATGTATTATGAATAAGTCTAGTTTTCTACAGAGAATAATCACATGTTCTAATTACCATTTTGGTTATACGCATAATTAATAATATTCTGTCTTAATGGGACACAGTGAATCTTCAGACAGTTATAAGCTTAACTATGCATACTGCCAAACCCAACTGTCAGCCGCACTGCCAAACAAAGGAATCCTGATGCAGTATTTGAGCTTGATAACAATATGTGTATCTTTGTACATGATACAGTGGAAAAATTAATTGCTTTTTTTCTCTCAAATGTTTCTCCATACTAATTTCATGTTGATTGATCACTTATCCTAATTACATACATACATATGCAGAGAGAGAAATGTTCTTATAAGCAATAAAAACATAAATATAAATGTGGCCCAAGACCCAAAGAAGACAAAGCCATTCTGGCCAGGACTCACCGACTGTAAACTTTCATTCTCTCTTAGGCAAGCTGTGTGGAGCTCAGACTTGAGGGTTGCGATGTGATTTCTGTGTGACGTCATTTCTTTCTCTAATGTAGCGATTCTGGTGCTTGCAAGCTGGTAGACATCCATGAAACTTTTAATCATGGCCTTAAGAAGTAAAAATAATGTCACATAAAATTCAAACAAAGTTGCCCTTAAAGCATAATTTCTTTAATTTGAAAGCAAAATTATTAAAATATTAAAATAAACAACTCTTACAGTTTCTGGAAAATAAAGACGAACCTCATATTTTATACTGAAAATGGTCACTAAGAAAGCTTTGGGATAGGGTGTGGAGGCAGCTCAGGGGAGAAAGCGCTTTTTGCACAAGTGTAAGGAACAGAGTTTAGAGCCAGCGCCCAGGTAAAAAGTTGGGCGGGGTGATGCACATTTATAACCCCAGTTTGGGGACCCAAGAATATCCCTGGAGCTCATTAGTCACCACCTCCCCTAAGACTCTGTCTCAAGAAACAAGGTGAATGGCTCTGAGGAGCAGCAAGACTGGCCTCCATAAGCACATGTGTGCATGTACATCCTCACATGTGTTCACACGTGCACACAGAGATGTACACAGATGAGTGTGTGAGCTCTCTCTCTCTCTCTCTCACACACACACACACACACAGAGAAAGTTTGGGGAAAATAATTGAATCTTCATTACAGAAGATTTATTTAAATGAGATGTACTTTGATCTACTGTGCTTAAAATTTAGAACACAGGTTTTAAATATGGCACACTTATTTTCTGTACTAAAATTAAATTCAGGTTGTAATTTGACCTAGATTTCAATCTTATAAGAGACAATACATGGATTTATGAATAACATATTAATATCTCATAATGAGCTGAGTTAGTAAAACTTCCAATCTACCTAACAAATGTTTTAAAACAACAGTTGAGTTCTTACTCAACTAATCCTGTGACAGTCTTCTGATTCCTATGAGAGAAAAGTGTAATCATATCCATCATAAAACACAGAGGTGCCTTCAGATACAACCTGCATAATAATAATGAAAGCAGCTATTAGTTAACTTATCATCTTCCCTAAATAGTGCAGATTTGGGGTTACAGAGCTCTGTATCAAGAAATCTTCAGTGAATTTTAAGCCCAAGGGATTGGATTCTATTATACCATCTTCAGCTAATCTTTCAAAATGCTTCAAACATTAATTCAAACATTTCAAAGATATGTCCAAAAACAGTATCACAGTATTTATGAGAGAAAGATTCCTACTTCAGACATATCAAACAATGAGAGACAGAGTCTAAGAATGTACAAATTACAGTCAGTCTGATGGTCTGGACTTTGAAAGCCTGGAGAGGCCAGGTATTTATTTGAGCAATTCTTAATGCATGTGAAAAATAATTTTGTGAACAAGCAAGCACTAGTGTTTCATGTCTGAGAAGCAGTGGGAAAGTGACTAGAAAATTCAGAGGCTTCACCTAATAAATTCCTACTTGCCCTCAAACATCCTCCTCACACAGCATCCCTTTCAAGAACCATCTACAAAGCCCAAAGGGCTGCAGTTAGCTTCCGTCCCAGCTCCCGGTGGGCTCTTCACACCAGCTTTGATTGTCGCATTCACTGGAGATGTTTATTACTTTACATGTTTTTCTTCATTACCAGACAAGCAGTCCATGAGACCGGGCTCTGTCTGCACGTCTGTGTTCTCGAGAGAGTAGTCCTCATTCAGTATTTGCTTGAGTAAATGAGCAAAGTAACAACTTTTGAAGAATGTAGTAATTAAAAAATAGAAGAGATGAAAAACTGCAATCTACCTATCACTATAAATTCCTTCATAGAAAAGGATAAATATAATTTTAATGTCAACCTAATGAATAAATTATTAATCACACTTTTTTTTTCAAGTTGGAGAGAAAAAAGCATAGCTTTAGGTATAAAAGAGAGTACATAAGTACAAATTCTCTGCCCAACAGTAAATCGTGGTACAACCTGGTGTGGGGGAAGATATCCCATGTCCTAGCCTATCACACCTTGAGTCATTTTAAGATAAATTTATATCTAAGAAGGCATTTCCTGATGTGTCAAAAGTATATAAAACTCAGACACAAATGAAGCTGGATGTGCAGTTTGGTAATGGAGTATAGGACGTTTGCATTTATCCCCAAATTGGCAAAAATAATCCAGTTATTTCTGTTTCTTCCTGAGTGACATCTCTCTTCATTGTTGTGAGTCCATTTCTCATCTCCAATGAGGTAGCAAATCCACCCCATCTTACTGTGTTACACACAGCAGTGTGTACTCAGGACATGCCACACAATCTCCAGGGCCTCCGTCTCCTCCCTCACAACATAAAGCAGGAATAGAAATTACTCTCTAGTCTACTGCCAAAACTGTTGTGAGGCCCAGATATTAAAATACGTAATGTTTATTAGTTATTTGCTGTAGTCGGGAGCTGCATTACAAGCTTGATTATATTTCTTTATAGTAATCATACAGGGCAGATACTGGCTTTTTAATCTAATTTTTAGGATAAAGCATAAGGGCATTACCAAATTAGCAGTATGGTAGTGGTATTCAAATAAAGGAACATTTAAAGCAAAGCTTTTCTCCTTACTCATTAACTATTATAGCTCATATAAGAAGGGGTTCTAGGGTGCTGAAGAGATGGCTCAACAGGTAAGAGCACTGACTGCTCTTCCAGAGGACCTGGGTTCAAGTCCTAGGACCCACATGGCAGCCCACAACTATCTGAAACTCCTGTTCCAGGGGATCCAACACCCTCACATAGACATACATGTATTCAAATGCCAATGTACATAAAATAAACAAATAAATTTTTTAAGTTTCTAAAGGGCTTCTAAAAGTGATAAAGTCCTGAATCTAACTATAATACTATTGTTTGAAGTCTAACATCTGCAATGAAATCCTAATTATATAACTTTGATAACTGATTCACATGTATGTACATATACACATAAACACAGTACATATTCTTGCTATATAAGGATCTAAAATGTATAAATGTTTACAAACATTCATAATATCCTATTGAATGAAAATGGGAGTTATTCACTCGGCAAAATGATCTTAGATTATTATTTCATTGTTAAGTCACCAAAGAATCAGCCTTTAATATTTTGAAATGAAAGAGTTCAACATTCTAAAAGCAATCCTGCTTCTTAAATTTATAGAAATTATTTTCTGGATTCTCAGATGTAAAAGGAATACATAATATAAGGTCCTTCAAAGCTCATTTTTTTTTTATAAACAAAGCATTTAAAGACTTAGAAAACAGATCTCCTAGCTTGCATAAAGTCTGAGTTTGACCCAGTACCTCAGTGACCCAAACCTGAAGTTCAGGACACCAGTGAGGTCAGCTCCTTAACAAGAAGAAGGGTGACATGAAGACAGTGACCTGAATTCAGAGGGGAGGTGGGAACAGGGAACGAACAAGCGCCTTGTGAGCCTTGATCAGTCCTCTGGAGCCAACCCTCTCAGTGCACACACTGCTCCCATGTCAAATCACCATGTTTCACGCTCAGAAAACACAGAGCAGCATGAGACTGCAGCACACGCAGAGTCTGAGTGGCCTGTGTCAACTTTCACCCTAGGGACTTTGAGAAGACCCAGCAGTGAATAAAGTCTGTACCTCAGGGATTCACTCAGTTATCTAAGAAACAGGGGGGAGAGGGGGTTGAACGAAAGGGATAAAAGTTGTTTTAGAGTTAACATGTAGTAGTAACAATTGACATTGATGGATGGACTATAGAATGCAAAATATCTGAAACACAAAGAGGTAAGTGTCATTTGAGGACAAACATATTTCCTATACTATGGACTTCCTCCAGAGTATGTAGCAGTCAGACTTGATAACTGAACATCAGAGAAAATGCAACCACTGGAACCCTGATAGTAAGAGAAAACATTAGTGAAAAATATCCTAATATTTGAACATTAAAATATTAAACCTTTTGTCTACATTGTCGAGTAACTAGGAAACAAAAACCTCTGATGTTTCACTTAAACTTATAAATATTTTTCATATCTATGTTCTAAAAGATACTGGGTAAAATAAGTATGCCAAACACACTAAATATATAAAATATAATTCATTTCACAAAAAAATAATTCCTGTTATAAAGAATTTATGTAAGTTAAATTATTATTAAATACATGAAAAGATATTAACTACACTATGCATAGTAGACACTCAAGTAAATGTTATCCTGGATAACTATATCATTTTAGGAAAATTCATGCATTAACTCATTAAAGATTAACCAATTCTGAGAAGTATCAGTACTAGGACAAGGCAAAATATCTTAAATATATTTACATATATGGTAAAATGGGCCCTCTCTAAAGAACTTTCTAACGTCTATTCTATTCCTCCAGAGTATGTAGCAGTCAGACTTTATAACTGAACATCAGAGAAAATGCAATCACTAGAGTCCTGATGATAAGAGAAGACACTGGTGAAAAATATCCTAAACTCTGAACACTAAAATAGTTTTTTGCTGCAACAAAACATCTCAGTCTCACAATGATAATATGCTTATAACTTTTCATATCAAATTTGTTGATACATAGAATGAATAAAAAACTAGAAATACAAATGAAAACAATTCAAAGAATCAATGAAGTTGGTATGTTGCAATGTAAGATTACAAACCTTTAACAAAACTAACCAAAAGAAAAAAAGACGACCCAAATTAATAAAATCAGTGATGAGAAATTACAACAGATACTGAGGAAATTCAAAAAATCATAGGAACATACTTTAAAATTATAAGCTAGTCGGTTAAACTGGAAACTCTAAAAGAAATGGATGGACTTTGAAATGTACATGGATATCTTATGGTTACTATTGCTGTGATGAAACTCCATGACCACAAGAACTAGGAAAAAAAAGTTTATTTGGCTTATGCTTCCATATCACTGTTCATCCTCGGAGGAAATCAGAACAGGAACTCAAATGGGACATGATCCTGGAGGCAGGAGCTGATACAGAGGCCACAGAGGAGTGCTACTTACTGAGTTGTGTATCATAGCTTGCTCAGACTGCTTTGCTATAGAACCCAGGACCATCATCCCAGAGGTAGCACCCCCATACACAATGGGCTTCCCCCCTCATTAGTCAATG